CTTCCCAAGCATCATGTCCCTCTCCAGGGAACAGCCTCTCCTAGCAACACGCCCAGAGCAGGTGAGATGAAGCTTCTGCATCCTTGCCTCCCAGGAGCACTCCGGCTGCACCTCCTCCAAGGCCTTGGGCACTTGCAAGAAAGAAACAGAAGGGAGGGAGGGAGGGAGGGAGGAAGGAAGGAACGAAGGAAGGGGTGGAGGGAGGGAAGGAAGGAGTGGAGGAAGGAAGGAAGGGGTGGAGGGTGGGAGGGAAGGAAAGAAGGAAGGAGTGGAGGAAAGGAAGGAAGGGAGGGAGGGACAGCATCTTTAACAAGTGACAATGGCAAAACGGGACAGCTGTTTGCAGGAGATGGAGATACCATCCCTGCCTCACACCACAAGCCTAACTAAATTAAGATGGATCAAAGAGCTAGGCATTAAACCTAAAATTACAAAGATCATCAAAGAAGAAACTGGGGCAAGCTTAGGAGCCCTTAGTTAAAGCATAACAGACCATCAAGTGCAGTTTCAAATACACACAACCAGCGGAGGATGAACCGGACACCTGGGCCCTTCCAAAAGGTGTCCTTACGCTTTCAAAGACTTCGACAAAAGAACAAAACTAGGGACACTATTTGGCAGTAGCATATCTGAAAAGGTTCTTAATCTCTAAAATTTACAGAAATTTACGCCCAACACCTCAGCAACACAAACACAAACAGCCCAGTTGCAAAACGGGCAAAGGACTGCGAAGACACTTCACCACAGACACTCAGCTGGCCGGCAACAAGCAATGCTCACCTCAGCCGCTGATTGAGAGATGCAAATCAAAACCGTGAAGCCTCCTCTCACCTCCATGAAGCCTCCTCTCCGTGAAGCCTCCTCTCCTCTCCGTGAAGTCTCCTCTCACCTCCGTGAAGCCTCCTCTCACCTCCGTGAAGTCTCCTCTCCGTGAAGCCTCCTCTCACCTCCGTGAAGCCTCCTCTCACCTGGCAACAGGAGCTCCGGGTGGTGGTGTGGAGGGAAGGCAAACTGGCGCAGCCACTGTGGAAGACAGTTTGTCGCTTCCTTAGAAATGTGGTGGTGGTGGTGTTGTTATGTGCCGTTGAATAGAAATAACCATTTGATCCAGGAATCTTGGTGTGATCTGTCCTAAGGAAGGGGAATCTGCAGCAAACATATGCATGCACACCCGTGTCCCTGGAACGTTACTTGTAATAGCACAGAGAGGCAGACAGCCCAGGTGCCCACCACCAGAATGCCTGAGGAAGCCAGCTGCTCACTCACACGGTGGGTGTCCTGCAGTTGTCAGCCTGCGGCCCTTGAGTGGCTGTGACGCACGGACCCCGCGGCTTTCTGAGGCTGTAACGTCACAGGCAGACACTGCTCGAACTTTTCCCTCGGTGCTGCTGCTGGATTTGAACCACGAGGGTGTGGAGGTCTTGGGGTCAGTAGTGCAGCTCACTGTGGACCGCGGCCTCAGAACTGACCAGTGACCCACCACTGAGGAACGATCAGTCACAGAATGTGTATGAACGTGGATGACGTCGTGTGAGGGAAACGAATCATTCACCAGAGAACCAGGACTGTGTCAGACGCTCACATACTTTGGGCATATTTTCAGGAAGGGCTAGTTTTGTTTTGCTTTTTAAATAAAATTTTTTCTACTGGTTTACTTGCAAAGTGTAAATACATTGTTTTTCACACTGGATCGTCCCCATTTCCTTTACCCGCCCCTCCCTCCACCCATCAGATCGTGAGACCCTGTGATTACCGCCCATCCTCCTCTCTTGGATCCTCCTGCCCATTTTACTAGTTATGTTTGTATAATATGGTCCTACACAGTATTTGTCCTTATAGGACTGAGTTACTTCACTCAGCATAAGGTTCTCCAGTGCCTCCCAAGTCAAATAGTGATTTACAAAATCATTGCTCCTGTGTGCTGTGGAGTATTCCATCATGTGAATGTACCATAACTTCTCAATCCATTTGATTGTGGTTCCATGTTCTTGCGATGGTGAATAACACTGCCATGAACATTGGTGTACAAGTCTCCATTTATGCCTCTGTTCTCATTTTCTCAGGGTGTATTCCAAGCAGTGGAATAACTGGGTGGAATGTCTATGTTCTGCTTTTTGAAGAAATGCCAGACTGCCTTCCAGAGTGGTTGTGCCACTTTACAATCTCACTAACAGTGCATGAGTTCCTATCTCTCCATATCCTCTCCAGCATTTATTACTCGTTGTCCTTTTAAACTTTGCCACTGCTACTGGGATGAGATGGTATCTCACCGTGGTTTTGATTTGCATCTCTCTTACCAAAGAAGGGCCAGTTTTGGGGAAGGACATCATGCTCAGAAAAGGAGAGGGGTCCTCAGTGAGATGGCCCAGCAGACGGCCGCGGTACTTAACAGGTTGTGAGGGTGGCGTGGGATCGGGCGCAGCTTCCTGCTGGGGGGTCGCCGACCCCTTGGTGGGCCACGTTTGCCTCATCCTCCCTGATCACATCCAGTGTTCAGGGACGCACTGCGCTTGGTGAAGCTGAGTAAGTGGGTCTCTTACTAACGGGCTAATCCACCTCGTGTGCACGGAGCACCAGGCACACGGAAGCAAGCTGGCAGCCACAGGAGGAAGGACGCAGACGAGGAGCCACCAGAAACCCAGGGAACGTGGAGAGACAAGGAGGACCACACCCAAGGCCACAATGTGGCCCTCCAGCTGTGCGAAGTGAGAGTTACAGTCCTGGCGCTGTCACACGCACGGCAGGAATGGACAGTCCCTGGTACCCCCAGGGGAGAGCCCGAGGTGGGGACATGGTGAGTCCACTGGGCCTGGGATCTGCTCGGGAAGATACCTGGAAACTGTGGCTCAGCTCACTGGGGAGTAAACTGTTCCGGTGCCTCCACAGAAGAGCCTGGGACAGGGACATGGTGAGTCCACTGGGCCTGGAATCTGCTGGAGACAAAACCGAGCAGAGCCCCCTGCGGAGCAGAGCCACCTAGACACCACCTACAGGTGTGACTGTGTCTCCAGTGCTGCTAGGACAGGATTCACACATGGAGGGCTTTCACAACAGAACGCTCGCTCAGGGTAGGCCTGAAGTCCGAACTTCTGGTGCCCTCTCCCGGCGCTGGCCCGTCCAGGAGAAGGGACCCTCTCCCGGCGCTAGTCTGGGGTCTTTGGAGGGCCCTGGCCTCCCTCCACTTCTGTTCCTAGGACACCTAGCTCCGTGCTGCTTTGGCGTCCCCTGTGTGGGGTGGTGTCCAGCACTGGGACATGGGTCTGCAGGAGAGGCTGGCCTCCCGGTCCCTGTTCTTGGTGATACTGAGGTCCCCTCCCTACTCCTTTTACTCTGGAAGATGGATATGGGCTACACCTCAGGGGATCCCCTTCCTAGGATCAGGGCTGTCGTGGTGCAGAGCGGGGGTGTTGCTGTCCACCCTTAATCCTTTCACAACTGGTCAGTGTTTTGTGGGGTGCATCTCGTGGTAGACCGTTGTGCTTACTGGGCATGAGGTCCCGGCTCCCACTCCTTTCACTGGATGGTGACTTGAGTGAGTCTTTTACAAAGCACAGGAGTTTGTCACACAACCATTCATACGATTTTACTCGAACATGAAGTGCAATGCCCACAGAGTCATCTCACTGTCCCCACACCAACCCCAGAACGCTGGCTTCCTTGAATCCCTCTGCCCTCCCCTTCCTGTCTTCACGTCTTATCCTGGGCCAGATGCGGTTCTCTGGACTGTCTCCGCGTGGCTGTTCCGGGACTGAGTGCCAGCTTCACTGCCCACGCAGGCCTTGTTGTTTGCTGCATGCTGAGCCGGGGGGTGAGATCGTCCAGTTCTGCACTTCTGTTGGTCAGCAGCAGTGGGGGCCTCAAAAGCTATGAGCAGCCTTCCAACGTGCACCCACTGTTCTCTCCGTGTCAGGACACACAGACGTCCAGACACATCTGGCCCATTGAAGAGGCAAGAGAACGTAGGATGACCTGCCCGCTCCAGCGACACCTCCAGCAGCAGCCTCCACGCCCCTGTGGCAGCGACCCCTGTGGCCAAAGTGGCCGCTTGGCATGATGAGACCTCGAGGGGGAGAGGCAATACTGGAAGGACTGAGGACGTGGACACTGAGCCTCGAGCCTCAAGGCTGAGGTGCCTGCATTTTGGGAGCTGTCTCAGCTGTTTCTGTTATAAATTGGGAGTTATAACCTTTTGACTCCCCACCCCCAAAAATGTGCATAGAGTCAAAAGATGGATTAATCCAAAGGACTGAAGGGCCATTCAAACCTCAGCTCCACCAGCCTAAGCCCAGAAGACGAGATGGGGCCCAGCTGCCACCGCTGACCACTTTAAGAGGGTCACAGCAGAAGGGCCTGGGTGGGTGGACAAGCAACGTGGAACAAAACTCAAATACAAAAATGGCTTCCTGGTCTGAAAGAGACTGTGAGGCCCCCGAGACACAGTCCTTCACAGCCGCACCCCCACACAAGAACTAACAGAGATGTTGGTGGTTCAAATCTGTCTCCTCTTCAGGGGACAGATGGGCAGTCTCCTCCCTGTAAACTTCTGGCCTGGAAGCCTGACGGAGGGCCGCAAGCCTTGGTCCCCCCTGCACAGGGCTGCCTCGGGTGGGACACAGCTCAGTCCATGACACCAGCTACTGTCCGGCAAAGCAGACAGCTGCAGGAGGTGGCCCTGGGGGTGCCTGCAGGTTGCCTTCCTCCTCTTGCTGCCCCCGTTGACCCCCACAGGCTCCGTCAATGGCCTGCTTTCCGCTGTGTCTAAAGGAGTCTGTCTGTGTGCAGGGTACCTGGGAAAAGCACTTGGATACTAATAAAAAGGCCGACAGTTTGACCCCTCCAGCCACCCGTCCAGAGGAGGCCGTCTGCTGCTGTGGAGAGGACCTGGGGTGTGACCCTGCCCCACAGGGTCGCTGGGGTCGGGATGGACACCACTGTGGCGGTGAATCTGGTTGATCGTGTGGTCGGGTCTTCATCCCACGACAGGTGAGGAGGGCGAGGCCTCAGGGCCGGGGGTCTGGGCGCAGCACCTCAGTGACAGTGGCACTGCGCAGGGCTGTGTGTGCATCCTCCTGTGTGCAGGCGGTCATCCAGAGTCTGTGCTTCTGAGGAGTGCGGGGCTGGGGGGCCGCTGTGAGTGTACCTGAAGAAGCCGGGCTCCTGGGGCCGCCTGCCCCGTGTTCTGAGGGGGGACATGAAGGCTCCTGAGGGCCCTAGCCTGACACCCAGAGACAGAGGGGCTCCGTGAGCCCACAGGCAGAGGCTGGGGGGGCCCTGTGCTGGCCTGGTCTTTCCAGGCCCCTGTGTGTGAAGCCTGGTGTGCCGCCCGGGACCCCAAAGCACCATCTGCGCCAAATTGGACTAAGGCTGAGAGGAGGCGGGCCCAGGGGCCTGGTGGCACATTGGTTAGATGTTCACCTGCTAACTGAAAGCCAGCAGTTCAAGTCCACCCAGGGGCCCTTGGGAGAAAGAGTCAGCTGTGGACACACCGTGGGGCGGTGGCCTCTGTTCTGGAGGTTCCCTACGGGTCAGGATCGGTTCCATGGTGGCAAGTGAGGGGAGGCTGTGGACTGAAGTGTGGAGGACATACCGTCCCCACTGCTCCCTCTCGGAGTGGCTACCAAGCCTAGAGGGCTCCCACCTGGCCCTGGCTCCTAGAGGGCTCCCACCTGTCCCTGGCCCCTGTCTGCAGCGAGCAGAAGTGAAGATGTGTCTGGGGTGCTAGGGGGTGGACACTGGCAGGCTGGCGACCTGCAGGGCCTCGGGGTGGTGGGTCGTGCACTTACCGGGTGGTCAGTGTGTATGTGCCATGGTGGTCCAAGCTTCTGCCAGAGCAGATGGCCGCCCACAGGAAAGCACTGAGCAGCATGGCGGGCACCTGAGGAGGGGTCAGCACGGGGTAAACCCTGGGGGAGGGGTAGGCAGCATGAGGTACCCTTGGTATCCCACCATCCAACCCCAGGGGCTTCTGCACTGTCCCACCTGCCCAGTGGCCCCTCAGGGCTTGCCTCCCCTCCCTTTGTCCAGCCGCTCTCTGTCCTGCCGGAGTGGGGTGGGTACCGTGAGGGCGAGTCCAAGGCCAGTCAGGGCAGAAGCGATGTCTGTGTGAGTCTTCAGGAAGCTCCGGACCTCCTGCAGGCAGTCCTGGGAGAGACGGCCAGTGTGGCAGTTTGCCCAGCCCCTCCTGCCCACATCACCAAGCCTGGTGCCCCAGGCTCAGCTCGCCAGTCACCCTGAGGTCCATGCTGCACCAGCTGTCTGCTTCCCAGACAGGGCGGGTCCAGTACCTGGTCAGACCAGCTCACAGGGCCCAGGGAGAGGGCACTAGCCAGGTGCTCTGGTGGATGGCCACCTGCAGGGGAGGACCCTGGACACCACTCCTGACTTCCGGTGCCACTCAGTATCTACACAGCTCGTGTCCCCAGTCTAGGCCCAGAGAGCAGGAGGGGAGACAAGACTGGCGTTGAGCTTCTCCTCTCTCCGTCTGTCTGTCTGTCCAATGGACGGAGCCCTCAGCCTCGCTGCTGTCTCCTCCCACCTTCAGCTCAGACCTGGGACGAGGGACGCATTGCTGCCCCTGGGGGGGTGGGCCCTGGCACTCAGGTCTGGAGCCCCTGCAGCACTTGACCAGGCTGGCCTGAGGGCTGGTGGGAAACGGACGGCTCAGTCTCTCTTGTCGCCTGCAGGTTCTCATGGAGTCAGGCCAGGAACAGACATTGGAGCTGGACACGCCTCCAGTTCAAGTCCGCGTCCCCTCTAGGCTGGTCAGCATCTTGCTGTGCTCTCACACCCCAGGGATGCAGGACGCAGACCCTCACTCCTGTGCCTGGAGACCCCTGGGAGGCAAAGAGCCACCCTGGCCTCTGGCCCTGGCCCTTCTGGTCACAGTGCTGGCTCCGTCCCTACCCAGCAATCTCTGCGCATCTCCTGTCTGTTCTTGGGTGGACGCCAGGGCCTCTTGCCTAGAAACCAGGAGGTTCGTCCCCAGGAAAGTAGGGGGTGGGGAGGAGAAGGGCAGCCTGGAGGTGGGAGGAGGGGCCGCTCAGCATCTCAAGTGAACCCTCCCTTGTCCTCCGCTCTCCATGGTGACCCTTAGCCTCCTTGGAATGCCTTCTGGGCCCGTCCAAGGCCACATCCCTCAGATGCCTGTCCCCTCCCCTCAGCAGTGCTGACCGTCCCTGCTCCCTCAGCTTCTAGAGGCTTCGAAGGGTGGTGGTGGTGACAAAGCCTCGGTGCCTGGCCTCTGGAGACCACACTTCTTGTGATGAGGGAGTGAGAAAGGCCTCAAGGTCAAGTTCAGCCTCCAAGGGTCCACCCACAATAACCTCCCTTCCCCCACCACACTGGAACCTGCCTGGGATCACTTGGGTGGGGCTCGTCCCTGGTCAGCATCCCTGCTCCTCACCTTTCTCCTGGCCAGCGCCCCTGGACACAGCCCTGCCTCCACCTCGCCCAGCCGACTGAAAGGAGACTGTTTCCCGCAGCACTGGAACTGGAAGGACATGAGGGCAGGGCAGCAGGTTGGCTCTGAAACCCAGGAGGTGGCTGGTGAGCTTTAGTGTTGGGGTGGGGAAACTGAGGCACGGGGAGATGAAAGGACCAGAGGCCAGGACTGGGCTCAGGAGACTGCCTGCCTGCCCCTGCCTGCCCCTACCTGCCCCGGGCTGCCCCTGTAGGAAGGAGGGGGACTGTGCACCCCCAGCACCGCCCACATGATTCAGGACAAGGCCAGTCGCGTGGAGTGGGCTCTGACTCAGCGCCCCGACACGTGCACGTTATCTGTGCCCCACACAGGAGTTCTCTTCGCCAGGTCTTCCTTAGCCATCTATGGTGGGCCTGAACAGTCAGCCTTTCGAGCGGCCGTTGTGTATGGAACCATTGGCACTGCCCAGCACTCGCGTGGGGGCCTCCCCGTGCTACCTGCCTGGCGGCTTGTCCCCATTCAGGGCTGGTTTCTCAGACGTGTGGCCAGCATTGTCCACAGGGCCGTGTGCAGATGCACCCCCTGTCCTCCCAGCTCACCTCGTTCTGACGGAGGCCTCCGTGTTCCTTAGCACTGGGCCCAGCACAGAGGGGCCCCTGTCCTAGACCTGCAATGTGGACGGCCGTCCTGGGCCCATCTGATGATGGTAACACAGGCTGGGACAGTGACCAGCCCTCGCTGCTCCCCACCCCCAGCACACTCCACCCCCACATCGCAGCCTCTCCTGTCCCCACCCCCATCCCACTGTGCTCGCGTCCCCCGCCCCCACCACTCACCACGTCCTGGATAACGGTCAGCTCCTGCCACCTGGATTTGGACAGGCCCCTCACCACCTGCTCATACACCAGGTCGTACGTGTCCAGCACAGCGTCCTCCACCTGTTCAGAGGACATGGGAGGGGCTGGCTGGAGGCCGGGCTGAGCTGCCCATTCCCACGCCATCCCTGCAGCCCTGCCCAAGAGGGCCAGCTGGGGGAAGTGTCCACCCCGCTTTTATGGGTCGAGGACGAGCAGTGGAATGCTATGGGTGGGGGTCCCAGTGACCCCTCCTCAGTTCTTCCCCAGAGATCACCCAACCCCAAATACCAAAACCCTGGGCAGCTGGGTCCTAGCCAGGTTCTGAGGACCTGGAATCTTCCCAGCAGGTGCAGGCCTGGCTGAGCTCCCCCCTTCCCTCAGGACCCCCTCCACCCCTTGTCTTTATTACCCACCACCCCAGCAAAAGCCTCCCCCAACATACTTTCAAAGATAACGCACAATCTCACCTCCTCCAGGAAGGCACCCTGACTGTACCAGGGCCTCCATCTCTCTGACACCACCCTTTTCCACCTCAGGTCCCCCCACCCCTTCCTGCCTCAGCCTCACCTGACTTACAGCAGGAACGGGAGCTCAGGGTCTGCCTGAAAGACTGGGGACAAGCAGAGGACCCAGACCTACTCCAGAAGCCACACCCCCGTCCCACTGCAGCTGGGGCCTGGTCAGCGGCCTGGGAGACCAGCAGACAGGCCCTTGCAAACTTCTGATGCCCTGCCCAGGGATGGACGTCCACTACAGTGTCAACCTGGCCTTAGCCTTGGTGGTTAGAGTCCCAGAGCATTTGGCTTTGTCCTCCCAGCCTGACGGGGGTGGGCAGTGCCCTGGGCTGGGGTGGCCTGGCTGCAGGAGGCCCCGTGTCGCTCTCACCTCCACTCCCTCTGGGGCCCGTGGGCCTCCCCAGGAAGACCAGCACACCATTCCCAGAAAAGGAGGCCCCAGTGGGTGCATGCGGGAGGGGGGATCTCTGAAACTGTGGCAGAGAAGCCAGCTCAGAGCCCCCATCTTGGCCCAGCCCTGACCCCGATGACTGACTCCTCACTCCAAGGTCCAGGCAGGACCATGCCCCCGGGGCAGATGAAGGTCCAGGCAAGTCCATGCCCCTGGGCAGATGGTCTCATCCGTGACACTGGAGGAGTGACCTCTAGTGGTCCTGCGGTGCACTGCCCACTCTGCTGGGATGTCCCCACTCTGAGACGGGGTGACCCGCAGAGGAGGGAGCAGAGCTGAGCAAAATCCAAGACACTCAAGTCCAACACTGGGGGCCAGGTGAACCCCCACCCCAGGTCTGAGCCCTACTCCAGCCCCCTCTGGGTCCTGGGAGAGATTCCCCATGAGAACCAGGGCTTCACCAGGTGTCAGCATCCCACTGATGGAACGAGTTATCTGAACCTCGAATTCCAGATGCCGAGTGGGCACCATGAGCAGGTCGGGAGCGTGGGCAAGGCGAGGGTCTTCCCCCAGTGACCACACCTCACCACCCCAGCCTCCAGTCAGTCCCCTGGACTCAGTGATTCCCTGTGTCTGCCACCTTCCCGCACAGGTGGGCCCCACACAGTGTGGGCTGTGGACGCTGCACGTGGTCTTCAGAGCCAGCTTGAACCCAAGTCCACAGGGGTGGACAGAAGTCTGGGATCGGGGCATCCTGGGGGTGTGGGGAGGGGAAAGGGTACCCCCACCCTTCCACTGTAGCTGGTGAGCCTTTCAGGGCCCCCCTCTCCCTGCACAGACGCCCTGGGGACGGGGAAGCCTCGTGGTAAACGTGCCTCTGCTCAGGTCCTAATAATAGGCACTGGGGCTCAGAGCTGGTTTCCATCACCAGACAGGCCTGCTCCCACTGACTATGCAGCCAGAGACCACAGATAGGGATGAGGGGTCCGGTGGGGTACAGTCGAGGGGACAGCCACAGCCTCTGGACGGCTGACTTCATGGCTGTGTGTCATAAATCTTAGGTGACCCCTCTAGAGGGCACAGAGGGAATGGGGTGAGCGGACCCTAGGCTCTGCCAGGACGTATCACCTTGTCTTTTTCCACACTGAGCTGCTGAGGGGATCGGGGGACAGAGGACCCACGACAGAGACCTCGTCTGTCCTGCTGTGAGGGTGCATGCCAGCTCCCTCCCCACCCACTGAGGATCCTGGACACAGAGACAGGTGTCCATCAGGGAGGGTGGGCTGGGTGGGCTCAGCAAGGCCCTGGCAGCTGCCTGAGCTGGGGCTGCCCATGCCATGGCCACACTGAATGGGCCAGATGACCCTCCCTGGGGGCAGGCCAGCCACCAGAGGGGGCTACACAGGTCTATGGAGGCCTGTAGCTGCTGGCAGGGACCCCATCCTCTGAGGCCCCGCCTTCTCCCTCTGGGCAGCCAGTGCCTGAAGTGGGCTCAGATGTGGGGAGGGTGGGCAGGTAGGGTGACACCGGGCTGAGAAGGGAAATGCCCATGGCTGAGAGCACAGGGTGGGGGTGCTCTCCTCCAGCCCAGTCTGGGCTGTCCCCCATGTGAATCAAAGGGTGGGACTGCGCTCTGGGTCTACAGCCACTCGGGGTGCTGGGACTTCTCTATCTGGGGGTGTGGAGGAGGGTCAGGTCTGAGGACCCAATGCCCAAACCCCTCACCAGGCCTCCAAACGACTCTCAGTTCCCCCAGTCCCCCAGCTGTCCTCCCCAATCTGTCGATATCTCTAATCCCCCATCAGCACTCAATCCCCAGCGGTCCTCCCTAACCCTCATTAGTGCTCTCTAATCCTCTATCAATTCTCCACATCCCACCGTAAATCCCACAGCAATGCTCCTTTGGTCCTCCCCGGTCCCTGTCCACCACCCAGCTGGCCCCAGTGGCTGAGTCTCTTCACCCTGAGTGACCACCTCTGAGTTTGGACCTCTTGGGAGACCTGCCAGTCACCACCTGTTGTCCAGCCACAGAGTCCATTAAAGCCCAGCGGCTCTGTCCTTACAGTGTGCATAGACACTGAGGCAGAGAGAGGAGTCCTTCCTCCGACAGGGGCTGGGCTTCCTGGGATCACTGCCAGGGGCTGGGCTGGGTCCTCAGTCTGAGCTCTGGCAGGAATGGGGACGGGGCGCTGCCCTTTCCTTCCAGGCCCCTGGGCATCGGGTGGTGCCCACTGTGACCGAGTGGGCCTCCTGCTGGGCAGGGGCCTCGAGCAGAGGCATCCCCTGGGAGAGGCTGCATCTAGCCATGGCCACAACCCTGGGGCAACACCTGTCTGCCTGAGGTGCAGGGGACAGAGGGAGGGCGTTGGCTCTGGCCAGCCTGCCCCTTCCTGCGTCCTGCTTCTTCCCAGCCCCTGGGTATTGGAACAGGACGCCCCTGAGTCCACAGCAGCCTGGACACTTGACACTGCCAGACCTTGCTGGCCTCCCCTGTCCCAGATGTCCATTTATGTTGCCCAGCAGGACAAGCCATCCTGGACACTGAGCCCAAGCCCCAGATCTGTGAGACCCTCCCAGCAGGGCCCAGCCTCCTCTCGGCTGCAGTCTCGACCTGACCACAGGGTGGTCATCTAGCTCCAGACTGCAGTGTTCGCTTGGCTCACACCCACTCACACTATGGCCCCCTCTGGCCAGTGTCCTCCTGCACACAGCCCAGCCTCCTCTCGGCTTCAGTCTCGACCTGACGCCTGGCCACAGGGTGCAGAGTGTTCACCAGGCTCACACCCACGATGGCCCCTCTGGCCAGTGTCCGGTACAGCCCAGCCTCCTCTCGGCTTCAGTCTCGACCTGACGCCTGGCCACAGGGTGCAGAGTGTTCACCAGGCTCACACCCATGATGGCCCCTCTGGCCAGTGTCCGGTACACAGCCCAGCCTCCTCTCAGCTTCAGTCTTGACCTGACCACAGGGTAGTCATCTAGCTCCAGACTGCAGAGTGTTTGCTCGGCTCGCACCCACTCACACTATGGCCACCCCGGCCAGTGTCCAGTACACAGCCCAGCTCCTCTGCTGGTCACTGAGTCCTCAGTCAGTTCTCAGGAAATCTCAGCAAGTGACCTGCCTCCTGGGGGGACGTAGGTGAAACCTCACATCATCCTAACACCCAGCAACATGGAACCCCAGGAAGGTGCCCACACAAGCGTGCCCAGTGCCCTGGATACTCCATGGATGGTCATGGGGCTAGCAGACCCCAAGCAGGTGAGAGTCCAGGACCTGGGAATAGTAGTCTTCCCATGAATGAGGCTGGGAGGGCACTGGCCTGGGCCCTGCCTACCCCAAGAATGCTGAGCCCAGGAGACCTGAACTACCCACCCCCTCATCTCTGTGTCCCCACCACTCATGCCCAGCACAGGCTCCCACAAGTGGATCTGTCACATTTCTCCTCTAATGACAGGTGGACAGACAAACTCCTACACCTGCCTGCTCTGAGGCTCAGGCCCCTATGTGGGTGGGCAGGTGGGGGCTAACCTTGGGGGAGCAGACGCTGACCTGTGTAGGGGGATGGGTGCTCACCTGGGGGGCAGGTAGGGTGCTCACCTGGGTAGGGGGATGGGTGCTCACCTGGGTAGGGGGATGGGTGCTCACCTGCGGGGCAGGTAGGGTGCTCACCTGGGTAGGGTTGCAGAACCTCCACAGGACCACCTGCACCAGGATGCAGAACGCCAGGGCGAAGCACAGGAAGCCCTGACACGGAGAGGGCAATTACTCCAGACGCCGCCTTGGCAGGGCCTCAACTCTGCCCCCAAAATGTGAAGCTGAAGCCCTGACCTCCAACGTGAATTTATCTGGGGCACTGGGTCTTTGGAGATGTGAGCAGTTGAGCTTTGAGGGACGCTGGTCCCAGTCCCTTCCTGGTGGAGGACAGAAGACTCCATAGAATGCCCAAACACCCAAGATTGCAAACCAGGGGCCTGAGAGACACACACAGCAGTCAGCGTCTAACCCCAAGGCTGGTGGTTTGGAATCACTCAGGGGTGCCTCTAATACAGGGCCTCCTTCCATAAAGAAGAGAGGCAAGGAACCCCACGGCAGCTCTGCCCTGCAGTGTGGGGTGCCAAGAGTAGGGGTGATGACCATGGGGGAGGATTCTCCCCAGGGGGATACCCTGACCTCACACTCCCTGCTCCCTCATGCCACCTACCCTGTGGTCATCCCAGTCTGTAAGGACTCAGCATTGGACACAGGGCGACCACAGCCTCCTTCTCCGCCCTCCCCTCCCCTCCTCCCCCTCCTTTTCTCTTATCCCCCCTCCCTTCCCTTTCTCTTACCCCTCCCACCTCTTCCTTTTCCTCCTTCTCCCTCTCCCTCTCATCCTGCTCCTCCCTACTCTTCACCCCCATTCTTCTCCCTTTCCTTCTCTCCCTCCTCATCCCTTCCTCTTCCTCCACTCCTCTCTCCCCTCCTCTCTCTCTCCCCTCTCCCTCCTCACCCCTGGGGAGCCCTGATGGCTCAATGGTGAGGAATTAAAGCAAAGGTATGGCTGGAATCCACCAGCTGCTCCAATGGAGAAAGATGGGCACACTCTCCTCTCTAGTGATTTCCTGCCTCTGAAGACCTGGGGGGCTGGTGTGGGTTCCCACCAAAGGCACACAATCATCACCACCTTCTCCTCATCCCTGGTCCCACCTCAGTGGCATCATCACCTATGCTAGAACACCTGGCATCCTTAGCAACGGTCAGTACCAGCTTTAATCACAGAGTAACACGTAGTAAGTTTACTCATGTTATGTACCTTGAGGGGACCCACAGCCGCCTCTAGGGGGTTTTCAGAGGCAGTCAGGGAGGAGACTGCCCAGCTTTCTGTCCTGAAGGGCAGCTGGTGGGTTAGATCCACGTGCACGCACTGCTCACGTGTGATGTTAGCGTGCTTGAACTAAATAAACCTTCATACACTGAAGTTTACCATTTAGTTGTATTAATAGTTGCTGAGCGAAGCCTTTGTAAATATTCCTCTTTCTTTTGTTCTTGATCTAGGCTCACAAATATGACTTGTCATGATATTGTCGCTAAACCAACAGGTAATTTGACAAAATCAAAAGACTATAAATAACCAAGGACGTTGCTGCTTCTGATGTTTGTAGGCAAACCCATTTGGCTGGAAGCCTTGTTGTCATTGGGTGACAGTGAAGCGCTGGCTGAAAGCCCTGTTGCCATTGGGTGACAGTAAACCTCTGGCTGGAAGCCCCACTGTCATTTGGTGACGGTGAAGCCCTGGCTGGAAGTGTCAGGAAGTCAGCCAGTCTGTCTTGTGATGTGTTCATGCATGTAAGATGGGTTTATGAAAAGTGAGCTGTTATAACTAACTGCAAGAGGATTTTCATTTTAAAAAGTAATGCATTTGTGCTGAGACCTGCACAGACATCTTATTTTGGTGTCACCCCTCTGGCACTGTCACCCAGTCCTGCCTGCATGCCACACCCATGACCCTCCTTCCCCTCCCTGCTCCCCACTCTGCTCTTCCTCCTCCACCTTCTCCTCCCCACCCTCCTCTTCACCCCTTCCCTCCCTCTTCCTCCCCACAACACTCCTTTCCCTGCCCCCTCCTTCCTTCTCCCCCTCTGTCCCCCCTTTCCTGGCCCAGAGCTGGCTCCCCATCTGGAAACCATCACGAGCTGCCTCCCTGGCTGGCGGCCCCAGCTCGGGCTGGTCCTCTGCCCCCTCCCTGCTGGTTCTCTGCCCTTCGGAGGGGTGTGGGCCATGGCCCTCAAGGGCAGAGGCTGCTGGGGCTGGGGGGAGGCTCTGTGGGCTGGCTGCTGTCTCCTCAATGCAGAATTGAGAAGTAAATTCCATAAATACAGAAAGAAGGAAAGAATGTTAGCAGTGGTTTCCTCCGCCTCCAGGGCCCACTTTCATTTCCTGTGTGAGAGGCCCATTGAGGGGCAGGGCCAGAGCAGGTAGGGGCTGTGGGGGAGCTCAGGCACTTGTAATGGGGGGAGTCTCTCCCTTTCTCCCAGCGCCTTCACATGTGCTCACATGTGCCGGACACACAGGCGAGCTGACACGCAGACACGCGTGCCAGATACCGGACCCAGACAAGCTCACCCACGGAGGGCAGGCGCAGGGACCTGGACAGAGCTGAGTGCGAGGCATGCGCACAGCCAGCCCACTGGCCGACTAGAGACGAAGAGCTCCTAGTGTGCACACACCTGTGGGGACCCACGCATGCGCATGCACGCGCCCGCGCAGCGCCCAGCCAGCCACGCGCCTCTCTGCAGCCTCAGACATGAAGAGCAGCTCCCAGCGTGCACACAGGGGTGCACCCACGTGTATGAGACATGCGCACACGGTGCTCAGACAACCCCACCCACCCCACGGCCGGCACCTGCAGAGGTGAGGACGGAGCCCGGCGTGTGCTCATGCGCAGGTCCACCCGCGTGCCCTCAGCTCCATGAGCCCCACGCCCTTCCCCAGCAGGGCCAGGAGGCCCCCAGGTGTCCACACAGTCCAGGCTGGCACTAGGGACGAATTAGACCTGGGAAGCCCCACGGCCAACACAGAGGTGGGAGGGTTCAGCTGTGGAACCCCAGGACTCTCCAGGAGCACAGCCCACAGGCCAGGGTGCAGGCTGGGCACAGGCTCGAGCGGAGGCATGAAGACCCTGGTGACTGGCTAGATGGTGGAGCAGTGTCCCCGCCTGAGGGGCCTTCAGAAACTGGAAATGGGCGGCCTTTCCAGAAAGACCTTGTTTCCAAGCTGAGCTCGCGGCACCCCCTGGTGGACACACCCGGCTAGTGCGTGTCCAGGAAGCCTCGCCCTGACCAGCTGGCCCGGCCGGCCACTACCTGTTCAGCCTGGCGTCCCTCTGTCACTCCAGGCCCAGGGTCCCCTGCAGACCACTAGCCTTCTGGGGGACATTCCCGTGCCCTGTGAACACTGTGGCTTTTCTCCCACGGGCATTGACCCTGTCCTTGTCCCTTAGCCCCCCAAATAGGGATTCGGTCTGGGCCCGAGCTCCAAGTTTGCTCTGCCCCTCTGAGGCGCACCTGGCTGGCAGGGGGTGACAGCTCCAGGATGTGATGGGGCTCCTGTCCTCTGGGGTGTTTACAAACCAGGAGTGATTTAACGAGCATGGCCCCCCTGTGAAGGCTGACCTCAGAGCTCCTAGCCTGAGCCCCCCGGGTTTCTGACCCCTGAGAGGCTCGTGGGGCAGTGGTCAGGGAGGAGGGTGCCCAGCTGGCAGAGTCAGGGGTCAGTGAGCGGGATGAGATGGGAAAGAAGAGGCTGTAAGACCTGGGGAGTCCTGGGGAGACTGGACTGACCCTGAGCAGAGAGCACCCCAGGAAACCTTGGGGCTGGAGGTGTGAGTATGTGTGGAGGGGAACTGAGGTGACAGTGAGCAGGGAGAGGGGTCTCATCACTCAGCATAGAAAGGAGGGGCCTGAGCTGAGCAGGTGGAAACAAACCAGGTGGGACTGGTGGGTGGGTACGGACCAGGTGGGCACAGACCAGGTGGGGCTGGCAGGTGGTCATGAACCAGATGGGCACAAACCAGGTGGGACTGGCAGATGGGTATGGACCAGGTGGGCATGGACCAGATGGGCACGGGCCAGGTGGGGCTGGTGGGTGGGCATGGACCAGGTGGGCACAAACCAGGTGGGGCTGGCAGGTGGGTACGGACCAGGTGGGCACAAACCAGGTGGGACTGGCGGGTGGGTATGGACCAGGTGGGTGCACACCGGTGGGGCTGGCAGGTGGGCATGGACCAGGTGGGCACGGACCAGGTGGGCACAGACCAGATGGGGCTGGTGGGTGGGCATGGACCAGGTGGGGTTGGCAGGTAGGCATGGACCAGGTGGGTATGGACCAGGTGGGATCCGTGGGTGAGCCTGGCGTCTGGCTGGATAGCAGAGCTGTGCCTTAAAACTGGACCTCACGTGAAGTGAACAGGGTTAGGGATTCGAGGGACCTAGCCATGAGCTGAGCACCTCCAAACTTGGGATTGTGGGGTTCCTGGAGGCACAGCCAGCCGCCCCCCCATTGGCTGAATCCACCACACAGCCTGACCTGTCCCCTAGAAGGATGTGAAATTCACTTGGTCCCAGAGTCAGAACTGCCCATGGCCTTCCATGCTGCTCTGGGGCTGGGTGGGTTGATGCAGTTTGGTGAGAGGTGTGAGGGACCAAGGAGGAGAGGACCCTGATTGTATCTGGACTTAGGAGACCCCTGGGCTCACAGCCTGCCCAGCTCCAGGTGCCCCGGGCTGTGTGGGGAACGGGGACTCACCCCTGCCATGAGGCCCTTGGCCCCCCTCACGGTGGCTGTAATGCAGAGTGTGGCCCCCAGGCTCAGGATCCCGGTCAGACTGACCCCCACGGAGAAGGCTGTGGAAGAGACGGAAGGTTGGTGGTACCTGGGCAGCATCTGGATGCCAGGAGGCTGAGCCCTGGGTGGACCTCGGGGCCAAGCAGTGGCCCTGAGTGCTGGAGAGGTCCTGGATGAGCGGGGCCCCACCGGACAGAAGTGACCCAGTCCCACCTTACTGCAGCAGCCTCTACCCGCTGGCCACCAAGCAGCACTGGGGGAAGCAGGGGGAGGGAGCCTCACCAGGCATGGAGGCCTCACTGCTGTGCTGGCCCCTCAGCCCACCCTGGCCTGGCCGGGCCCCTATCTTGGAGACCACATTTTCATCTCCCCACCGTGTCTGCCTGTGCGTGCTGTAATCGCTCTGTCCCAGGCCCCTTGCTCTACAGAGGTGCTGACCCCCGCGGTGGGGCCCTAGGGTCAGGAGGTCCAGGGTAACCCGCAGACCCCAACCCCAGGGGCCTTGGTGAGCTGCAGACGCTGGTCTCTGCACCTGCTGGGTCCCCACTCCCGCGACCCCTGTGTCTCTACCCTGGCTACACATTATTGTTGTTATGTACTGTCAAGTTGGAGCCTACTCACGGCTGGCCTTCCAGTGAGTTGGAGAGGGAACTCTGGTGGCTTAGTGGTCAGGAGCTGTGCTCCCAACCCAAAGGCACGTGGTTCAAATCCACCAGCTGCTTTGGCAAAGATGGGCAATGTCCTCCCATGTGAGTAAACTGTCTCTGAAAACCTGCTGGAGGGTCAGCTATGGGTCAGTTCTGACTCCACAGTACTTAACAACAACAGATCACATGGGAGATTGCCTGTCTTTCTCCTGCAGACCAGCTGATGGATTTGAACTGTTCACCTTTGGGCTCGTAGTGCAACTCCTTACCACTGAGCCACCAGAGTCAGCCTAGAAACATGGGGGGCTGGGCAACTGCTGCAACCCCAGCTTCTGAAGGTCCCACCTCACAGAGTGGACACCCCAGTTTGGAAAAGTCCATGGCAGGGGAGCTGACTCAGCCTTACAGTGACCCAGTCACCCCCAGAGGAGGATGCAGGGCTCTGGGGAGACAGCTGGGGACAGAAGTAGAATGGACACTTGGCAGTACAGCGGGGTCAGGCCCCCTCCATCTGTGGGGCTCAGGGTCTGCACATCTGGGAGTTCTGGGGACTCAGCTTTGATTCTGTCACTTGTTCTAGAACTTGTCCACAATCACGGGTCAAGTTAGAATCGAGCGGACTTTCCACCTAGTTTCCTCCGAGGGAGCTTGGTCCACCAGCCCACGCCACAGGCCTGTGAGCTTAGGCCACAAGGCTAGCGCATTGACCCCCACACCCCCACTCTGTCCCCAAGCCACCCTCCTGAGGTGGCCGGGTAATACCTGCAGGTGGGGCTGGTCACCCTCAGCCCCCAGACTTCTGCCTGTCAACCTGGATGCCAGGAAGGCCCTGTCCTGCCCATGACAGCCTCCTTGTTGCCCATTCAGCAGGGTAACTAGGTCAGAGAGGCGACAACTATCCTGGGACAGAGAGGTGGCAGTGACCTCATCCTGGTCATTGCTGCCTGGTCTCCAGGCTACTCGGCTGAGAAGAGGGTTTAGCAGGGTGGGACACTGTATGGGGGCCAGCATCCTTCTTAGTTAGAGGCCTACAGGGAGAGGCCCCGTGCAAAGACCCCCAGCCCACCAGCCCTGGCCTGTGCAAAGACCTGCACCCCACTGGTCCTGGCCTGTGCGAAGACACCCACCCCACCAGCCCTGGCCCCGTGTGAAGACCTCCACCCCACTGGCCATGGCCCCTACAGGCTTTGCCCCAGAACCCCTTTCCCTCTGCCCCACCAGCCCTGGAGTTCACTCACCCCAGCGGTGCACGGCCTCGGAGGGGTTTCTCTCCAGGGACACACGGCTCAAGACCGTAAAGTGGGCCCCAAAGTGGGCGAGGGCAGTCATAGTGGCCACACACAGGCTCAGTAGCTGGGGGAAGGGAGGCAGAATCGGGTGGGAGTGCCCTGTCCCCAGAGGCAGGCGCCCGCCCCCCACCCCAGGCTCTATTCAGCCTTTCTCCCGAGATGGGCTCTGCTGAGTGGGTCCCACGTGTTTCTCTGGGTGGTCTGAGCCAGGGCCTGTGCCTAAGACACTTAGCCACATTTAAAACCACAGATGACCCACATATGTACAACCACACGACACCACACACACTACACACATGCACAGACAGACATCACATATACACACACGTACACAGATACACATAAACAGACACCACACACAGACGACCCCACACACAACAGACAACATGTACCACACACACAGGCTCCCTCACAACACAGACACATTACACACAGGTACACAAACACACAGACATAGCACACCCCCTGCAACATGCACAGATGTAGACACACAGGTCACACACACACACACAGAGTTCACATCCATAAACAGACACACATGAACTACCCCTTCACACACTAAACACACATGCCAGGTCCCACACATTCACACACGGACATCTCAGGCAGGCACACGCTGCGGTCAGTCCCAGCCCTTCCCCCCCTGGCCCCTCTGGTTCCTGAAGGAGGCCCCGCAGGGCAGGAAGGGGCGGCAGAGCCGCAAATCCAGGAAGCTATGTGTCCGTCCGCACATGGGGGACCCAGCCACAGGCCCAGCTGCAGTGTCAGGTGTGTGAGGGTGCACGTGTGTGTACAGGTGTGCAACGTGAGTGAGCAGGTCGCAGCGCTGGAGCCTGGTGAACAGTCCCACCACCCGTCTAACCACAGCCTGGCCTCAGTGTCCATCCTCCAGCCGACCCCGTTACCAAGACCAAGAGGCCGGTGGCCAGCATCTGGCATTTGGCAACTCGCACTCGGCTCCAGGTCGCCATGTCGCTGTCCTCTGGGGTGTCCTCCCTCTCTCCTCTGGGGTGTCCTCTGGGGTGTCCTCTGGGGCCCCTTCTCAAGGCCTCTCAGCTCCCCGGCCGCCCCTCCTCCCTCTTCTGCGCCTTGTGGTTTCCAGCTGGGTGGGGACCTCTGACCGCAGACGCCTGCCCACGAGCTTGGTTCCATCCACCCAGCTGTTGGTCAGCCCTGAAACCAGGGGCCTGGACCTCAGGGGCCCAGAAGAAAGCCAGGGTGCCCCCACCTCTACTCCAGCTGGGTCCCACCAGGGAGCACCGACCAGGGTCCTGGTGTGGCCATGGAGAGCAGCTCAGAGTGGGGGGTCAAGTGGGAGTGGTGAGCTCCCCATCACAGGAGTGTGTAAGTGGAGATAGGGCCCTGCAGGGATCAGCCTGGGGGGTGGCTCTGAGTGTGACAAGGCAGGCTTGGCCTTGGCATCATGGGCAGCACCAGCGGACAGACAGGGACCAGGCCTGAGAAGGGCCGTGGCACGGCTCAGCAGGAGAAGGGCCAGCTCAGCTGTGGGGGGCTTTGCCCAGATGAGCGTCTGAGACTGTCAGATGTGGGGTAGGGGGCAGGGCGGGTCAGGACCTCTTCCTCTCCAGAGGCTCTTGGGTAAGGGGACTTCACTCCGTATCTGGGGTTCCTCCTGGCTCAGGGGGCTGGTTGAATGGCTGGGGTGACTGTGGCCTCCAAGTGGACCCAGGGGAGGTGAGTGTCCGTGTGGGGCCCCTCCCTGTCTCTCCATGGAGGGTCTTTTGGGTAGTGGGAAGCAGGCCCCAGATGCTACGGGAGTGGTGACCCCTTGACCTTCTGGGAGCACGTGGACTGGGCCCGGGGGCTGCCCAGTAGCTACTGGAAAGGCGGCCAGTGTGGCAGGCACTGGGAAGCCACCTTTTGAGTCTGACTCTGCTCACGTGCAGGTCACCAGGGCCCCTTCATTTGTCCCATCCCCCCATCCCCAGTGGCCCACCCTCTGCAGCCATGGGCCTCGGGGCCCCCAGCTGTGATCTGCGGATGCCCTGTCTCTGTAGCTCCAGCCTGAAGGAACCTCTGAGGTAGCACCGGCTGGGAGGTGGGCTGGTGGATGGCAGGGCCCACACCTTATGGCCTGGCTGCTGCCCCAGATGAGAACGTCCACGGCTGAGGCCAGGCCTGGGGAGAGGAAAGGCCGGCCCAGCGTCCTCCATGCTGGCCCTTGAGCCCGCAGCACTCGGGCCCAGTGTGGTGATGCTCCCGGGCTGGACTTTGGGGGGTTGACCTGCCCTGCCGGGCCAAGCACTCATGCACCAGGCGGGTGACCCCACCATCCTCGGGATGGGACTGAGAGAACATGGCCAGACCGGTCGGAACAGCAGATCCTGGGGCTGCATGCTGAGTGTCGTGGGTCGCGCCGAAGAGGGAAGGATTCTCAGCGACGAGAGGACGTGCGTGCTGTAAATCCACCTCTGTGTCCTCACGGCGGCAGCTCTGCAGACGAGTGCACAGGGTGCTGTGCTGCGGACCCGAAGGCAGAGCCTCGTCGACGGTTCGCATCCAGCAGCAGCTCCTAGGGAGAGAGACAGGAGGGGAGAGATGGATGTCCTCCCGTGGACTCCTGGCCTCTGGAGCCTCGGAGGGTCCGTGGTGAGTCGGTTCCCGCCCAGTGGCAGTGTGGTGGTTGTGCACCATTGAGGTGGGACCGACCCATAGCTGAGCCCCCAGCGGGTTTTCGCAGGGAATCGATTACCCATCCTTCTCCCATGTGGCCTAACTCAGTGCCATTGAATGAGGATGTCAATGAGGCTGGGACACAGTGGCCTCGCTGTCCCCTAAGACGCGGCTGGGATGTGCTTGGTGGAAGGGGACCAAGGTGGGGTGCAGCACCCTTAATCAGCTCACAGCCCTGATACCTCAGGGTGTTTCCCGGGGTGGGACCTGAATCATTTTTGTTTTAGACGACAGAGAAAGAAGGGAGCAGGTGGGCTGGACCTCAGTCCCATTAAAAAGAAGATGGAGGTGACCGTGTCCTTCAGACTGAGGTCCTGTGCCAAGAGGCAGGCACACGGACCTGCAGGTGCGGAGGGAACAGGGGCTGCACCCCACAGCCCACACATCTTCCCTCGAGCTGACACGGGAGCTCTAACCTCCAGTGTCTGAAGGTGGAGGACGTGCGACCAGGGTGCCCCTGAGAGGTGGGGAAGGAGAAGCTTCATCGCACGGACATGGGGCACGTTGTCAGACTAGGCCCATCCTTGGAAAATGACATCATGCTGAGGAAGGTGGAGGGTCGGGGAGAAGCTCTCAAACACTGAGGCTAACAACGGGCTCAGCATGTGGGAGACGTGAGAATGGTGCAGGACAGGACAAGGTTCAAGGTTATTCACAAGGTCACCGTGAGTCATAGTGGACTTGACAGCACATAACAAACAGATCTGGTTAAAGCCATGCGCTTGTAGGTCTCAGTCCTGCAGCACAAGAGACCCAGACACAGGGACGGGCCAGGGCAGACCAGGCCCCTGAGTGCCCACTCTCCATGTCCCCTCCCACCGCCCTCACAGCAGGGGCCTGGCAAGCCTTGGGCTCCATTCTTATTTCCCTGGTGAACCACCCCTGCCCCTTCATGGAGCCACGCCCTCTGGTTCTGCAAGAGGAAATGGCACCTTGGGGCACAAACAGGGCCCCTGCCCGGGTGCCCGCCTCCGTCAGGCAGTCTGCAGTGGCAGTGTACTCCCTCAGAATGAAGAAAGGGTCCTCAAGTGGCACTCCCACTCCGACGAGCTGAGCCAGGACAGGGGATCAATGTCCCCACAGACACATGCGCAGAC